ATGTTTGTAAATGGATTAATCTGCATGTTTGCTAATTAAGAAACCAACACTTCATCACATACGACTTGCCCGATACGAGGCTATCCACTATACCATACAACAGATACACACAACCGACCTCCCACACTGCATTACGTTATAATGAGGGTCTCTACGGGACCTCGCCTTTCCTGGCGATGGTACGCTGCCGTCGGAGCTCTGCTACCAGGCTGGATTGCCAATGCTAGCCCAGCTGTGAACGTGGCGCTCCAAGCCTCCTTTGACTCGGCCCCATACCTCGTCGAGCTCCTGTACGTTGCACATTGAGTGATCTCTCGCCTAGAACAGGTCTGTCAATTGGAGAATGGCTAATGAATTTAATATAGGGAGTCTGCCGCCGAAGAAAACTCCACTTCCTATTTCCCTTTGTTGGATCGCATCGCCGACGGGACGTTTGAGGACCTCACAACCGAGAAGGAGCTATACGACCGTTTCTTGACAGTTGTGAAGGATGATGGCCATATACGGACTCCGGAGAGTCTTTCCTCGTTCAAATTGTCGCTTTCGGTTCGATCATCAGCGCCTCGTATTGAGGCGCACTTCCAGTTCTATAACACCTCGGTTCAGCAGTCCTTGATGGTGGCCCAAGATGCGGCATGTCCTGTATGGGTTCACTCGGAGGGAAAACAGTATTGCTCCTCTGCCATGGAACGCGCACAGCAGGATGTTGTGGGAGAATTGTGGGTAGATCTTTGTTCATGGGGTATGAACTCTAATAGCTGACATCGAATTTGTGCATCAGGGACCCTAGAGAGCTACCATTTGATCGCATCCTGGGCGATGCATCACTCCCTCCAGCTGTTCTGTACGCAGATGTTACCTCTCCAATGTTTAGAGATTTCCACGAAACTCTGAGCGACATGGCGAAACAGGGACAGATCTCGTACCGTGTACGCTATCGATCTCCCCAACACTGGACTCCCCATCCCTTGTTTGTGTCTGGATACGGCGTGGAACTTGCTTTGAAGCGAACGGACTACATTGTTATTGACGACCGTGATGCGGAGCAGCTCGAAGAAAAGGATGCCAAAAGTCGTTCAACTGACCCAGATGAGACCAAGGAAGATGGTCCCAATGACCTCCGGCCTCTGTCTTCTTCCGAAGTAACTCGTCTAGGATTGAACTCTGTGAGTTACGTTATGGACAGCGCTGATCCTTTGGGGACATTGATCAAGATGTCACAAAATTTCCCCAAATATTCATCGATAGTAGCTGCCCACAATTCCAGTGGGGAAATGGCACAAGAGATCCGCCATAACCGGTTAAAAATGCTTCCTGGTGGTTACAATGCCATGTGGATCAACGGTGTACAAATGGACACACAGCAGATTGACGCATTCTCACTTCTAGAACATCTGCGTCGCGAGAGGAAATTAATTGAGAAATTCCGCGGTCTAGGTCTCTCTGCGGATGATGTCGTGAAGTTACTATCACACCGACTCCTCACTGAAGCCCAAGCTGGTGCCGAGGAGCAACGGTATGACTTCCGTGATGATTTGGAAGGGAATCAAGTCATTATTTGGATGAACAATCTGGAAAAGGACTCTAGATACGACTCTTGGCCTGGTGAACTGGAGGCGGTTCGTACTTATTCCGTATGGCTACTAGACTGGATACATTCTAACATAATTCTAGTACCTCGCCGGTTCTTACCCGGGACAATTGCCCCCGGTGAGCCGGGATCTGCATAATGTCGTTGTGTCTGTGGACTTATCTAACCCAGAACATATAATGCTTGTTGCTGGAAACCTGCAAGCCTTCATCAAGCGAGGAATTCCTGTGAGATTCGGCTTCGTACCTACCACCTCGTCACCAGAGTCCATTGCGCATCTGAAGGTAGCGCATTACCTTTTTGATGCCTATGGCATGGAGTCTCTTGTGCAATATTTCGAAGAGTATGCCTCGAAAGGCAAAATGAGCTTCCCAGACAAATCGTGCTTCCAGTCTGCGACTAAAGAACGCGATCTCGTTGACGGTCACGAAGCTCTGTCTCTTGATGAAGTCTTGAAGAGCGAGAAATATAACGCTCTAGTGTCCCAAACGGCTGCTTACCAGCGTCGGTTGAGTCTTACCAGTGACGCACCTCAATTCCTGGTGAACGGTATCCCTGTCCCCCGAGAAGGCAACTGGATGCAGGGAATGAGCATGCAGATCAGCAGGGACTTGAAGTTGGTCCAGCAAGGCATTGTAGAGGGAATTTTCGAAGAGGACGCATGGCTTCCGGAGTTCTTCTTGGCACGCGCATTTGAGAGACGCAATACTTTCCTCATGCCCGAGGATCCTAAGAGTGTGCAAATTGTGGACATCGCCAACATCCTTCCATCGGATGAAGATGTATTGAATAAGATTCCTCACATCGTCTCAGATAAAGCAGCTCTGAAGAGCGCTCATGTGATAATTGTGGCCGATTTCGAGTCAGAGGCAGGCATAAAACTACTGACCGAAGCCCTCAATCTTCGAAAGGAGAATGGTGGCGTAGAGATTCTGGTTCTGCACAATGCGGCATCGGATGTCGATGATGTTCCTAAGAATCTCGCCTCTCTTTATCTCGCGCTTGCGAAGGGACAAGCTATCGACCAAGTACTAGCTAACATTGCATCTGGTGATCTTGATACCGAAGTCCTCGAGACTGAATCCCAAGATATCTCTGCCCTTCAAGCCTTACACCAAGCTCTGGCCAGAGAACTTGGATTCAGCCCTGGCACTGAGGGACTCGTTGTCAATGGAAGGGCAGTCGCCCCTATTGAGAAGGAACATCCGCTAAGTGTGGAAGAGATAGGCCAACTGATTGCCTACGAACGGGTGAAGCGCCTCGATTCCGTTGCGGCGGCTGTTGACGAACTTGGATTCGCCGATAAGATCTCAAGTCCGCTCGATTTTGCCAAATTGACCTCGCTTGTGGCACTTTCCACCATCTCGGATGTCCCTGAGGGTATATTCGAAAACACTCCCGATTTCAGAGTGGACGTGTCCGGTAAATGGAGGACGGATCACTCTGTAATCACAGTTTCTAACTCAGATGATCCCACGATCCACGTTGGTGTTAGCCTTGACCCGGCATCTGAGGTTGCTCAGCGGTGGTTGCCGATTCTGAAGGTTCTCTCTGAGCTATCCGGCGTTCAGTTGAAGATTTTCTTGAACCCGAAGGAAGAGCTCAAGGAGCTGCCGGTCAAGCGATTCTACCGCTATGTCTTGGAATCAGAGCCATCTTTCACGGACGAGGGAGCTCTGGCCCGGCCTCAAGCGTCCTTCACTGGCGTGCCAGTCGAGGCACTGCTGACTCTGGGGATGGACGTGCCGTCATCTTGGCTCGTAGCACCCAGTGAATCAGTCTATGACCTGGATAACATTAAGTTAAGCTCGGTCAAGTCTGGCACTGACGTTGACGCTATCTACGCTCTTGAGCACATTCTAATTGAGGGCCACTCTCGTGATCTTACAACGAAGTCTGCCCCCAGAGGTGTCCAGCTTACCTTGGGCACCGATACCAACCATTATTTCGCCGACACCATCATCATGGCTAACCTGGGATACTTCCAGTTCAAGGCCCAGCCAGGCTTGTGGCAAATCAACTTGAAGCCCGGCCGTAGTGAGAAGATTTTCAAGATCGATAGCGTCGGTGGTCTAGGATACCGCCCCCAGACCGGTGACGAGAACAATGAGGTTGCTCTGCTCTCCTTCCATGGCCGGACGCTGTTCCCTCGATTGTCACGAAAGCCAGGCCATGAGGAGGAAGATGTTCTCGAGACAGGAGTTCAGTCAGGCTCAAAGATGGACTATTTTGCCAAAGGACTCAACTTTGCATCCGGTGTCCTCTCCAGCGTTGGTGTCGGGTCCAAGAGTGGAGGCGAGCAACATGCCGATATCAACATCTTCTCAGTAGCAAGTGGACACCTCTACGAGCGCATGTTGAACATCATGATGGTCTCCGTGATGCGACACACCAAACACACCGTCAAATTCTGGTTCATCGAACAATTCCTCTCCCCCTCTTTCCGCGCCTTCCTCCCTTCCCTCGCTCGCGAATATGGCTTCTCCTACGAGATGGTAACATACAAATGGCCACACTGGCTGCGCGCGCAGAAAGAAAAGCAACGCGAGATCTGGGGGTACAAGATGCTGTTCCTGGACGTGCTCTTCCCCCTTTCCCTGGATAAAGTCATCTTCGTCGATGCAGATCAGATTGTGCGCACAGACATGTATGAGCTAGTCACTCACGATCTCCAAGAAGCGCCCTATGGGTTCACACCAATGGGCGACTCTCGAACCGAAATGGAAGGCTTCCGATTCTGGAAACAGGGCTACTGGTCCACCTTCCTCCGTGGCAAGCCGTACCACATCTCAGCGCTGTATGTCGTCGATTTGAAGCGCTTCCGCGCGCTTGCTGCCGGCGACCGTCTGCGCGGCCAATACCAGATGCTCTCGTCGGATCCGAACAGTCTCAGCAATCTCGACCAGGATCTGCCAAACCACATGCAGCATCACATTCCCATTCATAGTCTGCCACAGGAGTGGCTTTGGTGTGAGACTTGGTGTTCCGATGAGGATTTGGATGGGGCGAAGACTATTGATCTTTGTAATAATCCACTTACCAAGGAGCCTAAATTGGATAGGGCTAGGAGGCAAGTTCCCGAATGGACGGTCTATGATGATGAGATTGCGGCCTTGGCGAGTCGCGTTGCTGGCGAGCAGGCTGCTGCTGGGGTTGAGTTTGTGCAGACTGGTGAAGACCGCAAAGATGAATTATAGTTGACCCTGTGGGGTTTATTAAAAGATAGCGATTGCATTTATGATTACACTTGTTGCATTTATCGGATTGAATTGTGGATCTTTGTATTTTCATGGAAATTTTCTTTTACTGCTCGCTCTCATACATAAGAATTGACATCTTAGCAAACAAGGGTATAATAAAATGTAGAAAGTAAGTAACAGCAAAGGGAAACTCTTTGTTTCATGAGGTTTCACAGCTCGTCCGAGTCAGTCTCGTACTTGACGTTGGTTACGCTGCTGTCGTCATCCCCACCGTCCGAGTCAGATTCATCGACGATAGCATCATTTTCAGTGGCAGATCCGTGAGAAGCAGGTGGTGCGGGGGGTGGGGTCTCTTCGATAACAGGACGAAAAGGTTCAGCCAAAGGGGCAGGGCTGTCACTAGAAGCTTGCTTCTCCTTCTTGGACTTTCCCTTCTTTTCGGGGGGCTCAGGGGCCTCGGCACCGCTGCTAGATGGCTTGTTGGCCTCCTCTTCCTCTAGTCTCTTTCGCTTCTTCTCCTCCTTTCTCTTGCGCTTGCGCTCTTTGCGTGCGGCCTTGTCTTCCTGGGCTTCTTGCTCAATCTGCCCTTGCTTCTCCTTCTCTCGTCGCTCCTTCTTCTCGCGCTTCCTCTCCTCTTTGCTCTTTATAGAATTGGCGGGAGACGACGGGGCTTCCTTGGCAGGACTGGAGGCGGGGTCTTCGTTGTGCTTCCGCTTGGATTTTGACTTCTTAGCCTTTTTGGGAGGCTCGGGCAAGTCGGGCTCGCCCTCCTCGGACTGCGCATCATGGTCGGACTCGACATTGGCATTGGCAGTGGGGGATGGTGCTACCTCACCATTGGGCTCTAGGGTCCGTTTAGTAGTTTTCGTAGCTTCGTCGTGATCAGAATCTTCATTCACGAATTGAGAGCTTTTCCTTTGCGCCTCCAGTCTCAAATTCCAGTGGGCACTTTTCTTAGCAGCAAGTTTGGGATCGAAAACTGCGCCTGGGTGACCATTGGCCCGCATGGTCATGACCTGCTTCACGATCTTGCGCCATTTGTCTGCGCATTGTTGTCGAGATCGCATATGACCCATCGCCTTGCTGATGTTACCCCATACAATGAGCCGCTCGTCCAGCTCGTACATGTCCTTGCTTGATTTATCGGCAAGCATTGGCTTCATGGTGTTCCACGTTGATTCCACAGCGTTGAGGAAAATCCCGGTTTCCTCCTCCGACCATGCGCCTTGGTTCATGGTTCCCTGGTGCTCGAGCTTATTCTTCCAGCGTTGAGTGACATCGTCATCACTGCGCCCAATGAGCTTACCAATGTAAGTCCATTTCGGGCCGTGTTTGGCGTGAAGCTCAATAAGCTCTTCCTCTTGTTCCTTCGACCAATCGTGCGCCTTTTGAGCCGAAGCTTGGAAGTGTCGGCGCATGAATCTGTACACAGATCGCCGATCACGGTCTGGAACAAGAGCGTAGATCTCGTCCCAGAAGTCGCTTTTTGAGATAACATCCGAGGGGGCTGGAAATTCGCCGGTTGCGCCACGCTCGGAGTGTTGAACCATCTCGTCAAATTTGGCGCTGGCAATGCCATGCATGGTGCAAAAATTGAGTTTGTATGCTTCGATTTTTTGCACTTCTTCCGGCGTATAGAAGCCAATTTTCAAATTGTCTTTTTCCCTGGTGCGCGAGCCTCTAACCCCCTTAGCCCTGCCTCCTGATGTGGTGCTACCCTCGGGGTTTGGTGAGTCAGGAGCTGGGGTTTTCTTTGTGACAGCTAGCTGGTTTACAGCGGGCGGTTTTTCTGTAGCCGCTAAGTCGGAAGTAGGTTGAGGAATGGACGAAGCGTGGCTTTCCAATTCTTCGCCATTTTTCCTGCGAGACTTCTTCGCCGAGGACTTGGGCTTAGGCTTTGACGGAGTGGACTGGTTGGGAGTGGGGGGAATTTGAACCGGAATTGCAGAGGGAGGTGAGTTGTTTTCTGACGAAGCTGACTCGGCAACAATTTTGTCTGATTTGCGATTCTTCTTGGATTTTTGCTTGCGCACGGGTTCAGACTGCTCGGGTTCAGACTCGCGCTTTCGCTTTGAAGGATTCGACATGTTGGAGTCTATTTCTGCGGAGGGCTTTGCGCCATTGGCTTCCGTAGTTGCCGGCGACAAAGCCTTAGATGCTGAGGAGCGACGTTTCTTTCCCTTTTTCTTCGTCCCATCGACCATAGAAGAATTCGGAGTTTCGGGAACTGCCAGATTGCAGATGTTAGTATTAAATTGCGCGAAAACCAAGTGTTTAACTAACTGATATCTCCGAAATTCTCTGGGATTTCAGGGAATGGTTCAGGCTGAGACGATGTATTCCCCATGGCAATAACCTACGACAATGAGTAGGGAGGGGAAAGAGTAGACTATACGTAGAAAAGGAGAGACCGAGGTTCCTCAAAATTTACAGCCCACGAATGCGTAACAATCCGGCAATTGGGGTTCACCGTCTAGTTGACCGCCTATGTGGGGCCAATCGAGTCGATCTCAATGGCTATTGTATGTAGTAGATCATCTATATTTTGATAGAGCATAATAGAAACAGTATTGTAAAAAAAAAAAAAGAAGATAAAAATTATTCAAGGCACCAAGACAATCTATTCTAAATGTGCAGATCGGGATTATTGAAGGATTCCACGCAATTCCCACTATACAACTTACTACAGAGTGACTCATACATCCCATACAACACTGCATAACAAATGTATTCAGGTGTTTGGCATTTACTCAACGTTGTTCTGATAGGTATCATGCTCATGATTGCATTAATAGTGTACATGCTAGTACAAAGAACATAAAAACTCAACTGCAAGTCATAAACCCCATACTTCTGGTCCTACGGACACAGTCACGACACAAGCTTCATATCCCGTAGGATTTTCGTCACTAGTTTCTTTTGATCATGAGTGTGAAGATTTTGCTGATCTGTCTCCTGTAGACAGCGCCCAATTGCGATAGTGACCTTGACAGCACTTTCTGCGGCGTTGGAGCAGTCCACCCACACCTTTCCATTGCGGCCAACTGCAATCTCAAATCCTCCCAAGCTCTCCAGCTTCTTTCCAAGTTCAGAAAGAACAACCAACCCTTCAATGGCATCTGTGTTCTCGGCAGAAGAAGAGCTTGCCCGAATCAATCGGGCCGCCATACCAGTCGAAACATCAAATATCATTCCACCTGTCAAGGGTCCCAATCCTCCATCAGCTTTGCCAGTTGCCGGGTTGACACAAGTGAGTTCAACTTCGGCGCCGGCGCCGACTCCCACGGACTGTACTCGGGCATACACCAGCTCGCCTTGCTTCAGCATTGGCCTTGTCTTCTTGGATGCGCCCTCAAAGGACAGCTGACCCAGAAGTGCATGGGCTGTATGTGGGGTTACCATGCAGTGGAAGAAATCGACGCTGGAGTGGTGGATCTGAGCAATGACAAAGTCATTGACGGTGGGGATGTATCGGCGGTTCGGGAAAGAAAGAAGCGAGACAGTGTTTCGTTTCGCATCGGTCGTCAGCAAACCAGCTTGTGTTGCTGTTAAAACATGATTCGATCCCTTTGAAGAGGGCTGTGATAGAATGCGGAGGCCGGGGCCGAGTCGTAGAGGGTTGGAGTTGTTGGTAGGAAGGTGGTCTTGAGGTACCTCGTCGCTAGGTAATAAGACAACCGGGGCGCTCATGATGCCGGACTGGATAGGCTGTATTCTGAAGATAGCCTAATTGTAGGAGACTCTGAGGGAAGAGGTTCAATGCTGTATTGCTGGATTTCTTTCATGCAGAGAGATTGTCTGCAGGACTGCTTTTGCGCATTGATTCTGCAAAAGAAAACCACATTTCTTATCACCACGTGACTTCATTAAATGTAGACTTGACTATGCTCCATCCTAGCACTTGACTTGGGACCGACCTTGAGGATACGAACAAGTTAATTACTCTGGACTGATACCGATTTACGATTACCTGTGACCGGTATTTCTAAGATCAGGGCTATATCCATCATGGAAAACCCTCAGCATATGAAGATGTGTGGCGGTGCCATTTCGAAATCGCCACAACCACTATCGATAAGCACTAGCCACATTTGCGGCAGACGAAAATCTTCAAAAATCTTTTTCGATCATTCCCCCTCAATCGAGATTTCCACCAGTTACCTCCGATACCCCCGAATCTACTTTCACGCCGTAACGTGAGATCCATATTCTTTTAATTCAAAAAAAGTACATATTTACAACTTCGACATGGGTGACGCTGCCAACGGTGCCCCCGCTGAGGCGGAGCGCTTTGCTATCGGTATCTCCTTTGGTAACTCATGCAGTTCAATTGCTCGCATCTCCTCTGTACGTCCTGGTATTCATTCTTTGGGTTAAAGAACGGTGACTGACAATTTTATAGGAGGGCAAAGCTGAGGTTATTGCCAACGAGGAAGGAGGTAAGAACAATGAAGCCCCACGATTTGAGAACTCAAATTAACACACTCAGATCGTCAAATTCCTTCCATCCTTTCTTACATCGACGGAGAGGAGTACCACGGCACACAAGCCAAGGCCCAGCTCGTTCGCAACTCGGCCAACACTGTTGCATACTTCCGCGATTTCGTCGGCAAGGAATTCAAGTCCATCGACCCTACTCCCTGCCACCAATCCGCCCACCCCCAGCAACAGGACTCGACTGTCGCTTTCACCATCCGCGACACCGAGAGCGAGACCCCCAACACTGTCACCGTTTCCGAGATCACCACCCGTCACTTCCAGCGTCTGAGACGCTCCGCTTCCGACTACCTCGGTAAGGATGTCAACGCCGCCGTTATCACCATCCCCACCGATTTCACCGATGCCCAGCGTGAGGCTCTTGTTGCCTCCGCCAAGGCTGCTGGTCTCGACGTTCTCCAGCTGATCCACGAGCCCGTTGCCGCTGTTATGGCTTACGATGCCCGCCCCGAGGCGACTGTTACCGACAAGCTGGTTGTCGTTGCTGACTTCGGTGGCACCCGCTCCGATGTTGCCGTTGTTGCCTGCCGCGGTGGCATGTACACTATCCTCGCCACCGCCCACGACTACGAGCTTGGCGGTGCCTCCCTGGATAAGATCATCATTGATCACTTCGCCAAGGAGTTCATGAAGAAGCACAAGACCGACCCCCGCGAGAATGCTCGTGGTCTGGCTAAGTTGAAGCTCGAGTGTGAGGCCACCCGCAAGGCCCTCAGCCTGAGCAGCAACGCTCAGCTGAGCATTGAGTCCCTGGTTGACGGTGTTGACTACGGTTCCACCATTAACCGTACCCGTTTCGAGCTTCTCGCTGGTAAGGTCTTCAGCCAGTTCACTGCTCTGATCGAGCAGGTTGTTAAGAAGGCCGAGCTCGATGTCCTTGATATCGATGAGGTTATCTTCTCTGGTGGTGTTTCCCACACCCCCAAGCTCGCCAACCTGGCTAGCAACATCTTCCCTGAGAAGACCAAGATCCTGGCTCCCGCCACCTCTGTCACTGCCGTTAACCCCTCCGAGCTGTCTGCCCGTGGTGCCGCCTTCCAGGCTTCCCTGGTCCAGGAGTTCGAGCACGAGGACATTGAGCAGTCCATCCACCCTATGGTCACCGTCGCCCCCCACCTGACCAAGGCTATTGGCGTTGAGTTCACCTCCCAGACCGAGACTACCTTCCAACCCCTCCTCGGCGCCGAGACCGCCCTCCCCGCCCGCCGCATCGCTCAGTACTTCGCCCCCAAGGAGGGTGGTGATGTCCTGGTCCGCGTGTGTGAGGGTGCCCGTGAGATCAAGGTCACCAAGCCCGAGCCCAAGGCTAAGGAGGACAAGCCCGCCCAAGACGAGGATGACTCTGACTTCGATTCCGAGGATGAGGAGGATGAGGAGACCCGCGAGATTGTCTGGAAGACCGAGAAGCCCGTTGCTGAGCTCGCCGTCAAGGGCGTCAAGGCTGGCAGCAAGATCGAGGTCATGGTCCACGTCAACCCCGATCTCGGTCTGCAGATCGCTGTCCGTGAGGTCGGCTCCCAGAACGCTGTCCGTGGCGCCGTCAACGGCTCCGCTTAAGTTTTTTTTTCCATTGTGAAATAAAAATATAAAAAAACTTGGATTTCGTTTATGGTGTGATGATGCATGCATGACTGATAGAGGTTGTGATTTTTCTTTTTGTCCACGATTTATACTGCAGTTATCGTCATGGAGTCTTTCCCTTTATTAGTTCTCAAATAGACTCAGTTATGTGCAGCCAATCGATACTGGTTCTCTTTTCTGGCCAACTTCATTCTACTAGCCCTTCCGACGTATTGATCTACGCTTGGCCTTCTGCTCTCCGGGGGCTATATATTCATTGGAAATCCCGATGCTCCAAACCGTGGTTACCTGTGAGTTCAACGTACATGGCTGTATACAATTTACATTCCAAGAATCAGATAACGGTAGTAGAATTTATATTACAACTAGATTAAATAGGTTCGCAACTCAAAAGCACAAATTCCTGCATGATCTTCAAATCCGAGAATTTTTAAATCATGGGAATCATCAACAAATCACCAAAGACGCTTGTGCCTTAGAGACATAACCGGACCTAAGGCACGGATAGTATTGCACGAAGAATGCACAATTACCACCTTACGCAGGAAGGCCGTAGATTGATTAGATGAGTAAAGATCGTGAGGGGTTCGTAATAGCATCAAGCGAGTGTGAGTAGTTTGATCTTTCAAGCTGCATCCGGGTTATTCAGATGCAGCTCGACAAGATCCAGTTGTAACAAGCGGCCTCCTGAAGAAAGAATAAACTCTCAAAGGGGATATCAATGCAGGAAGACAAAGTCGTGTGTAGGATAGTCCGGAGATCGCCATGTTCATGTCGACATTTTCGGGTGCTCCGGCTTGTTCTTGTCTAAATGAGGAACCAGGCTTCTCAAAGCCACGATACATCCATTTAAGCGTAGTTTGTGGCTTCCTTCTTCTGACTTTTCACGCTGTTTGAGCGCTGCGAGGAGAAGAAACCACGGCGGCGCTCCTTGCGTCCACTGTATCCACTGCTAGTATCTTTCCGGCCAACGGCACCACCGAGGCAGTACAACAAGCACGAAAGGAACTGGCAGACAGATGCGGTCCACATAAAGGCGAATGCCTTTACACCGAGGGATGAGTGTTGGCCGTTACTGTTGAACGCGTGACGGCCCTGGACAAAGACAGCACTATAAAATATAGTTAGCATTTTGTTTCTGGAATAACCCTAGTTCCAATTGTAGAGATACATACGTCATGAGACAGGTCGTGATGATCTGGAAAGTGAGAGCGATCCAGGCCAGGAAACCGGAGAGGTAGCTGGCAACGCGGGTGCAGATGGCCAGCATGCCAGTGAAGAAAGAGCACACGGCGAAGAACAGACCGATGATGATGAAGGGGAACATGAACCGTGACATCAAGAAGTAGTGGTTCGTTCTATAGCACAGGTATGGTTAGCGCGACTCGGAAAATGGTGATATATCAGTTGGTGACCTACCCGATAAACTGACTAGGGATATTATCGGTGGTGTCGAAGTTACGGTGGCTTGGGGGATCGAATGGGAAATCCACATGGGTATCTCCGCAGTCATTCTTGCCGTCCTTCACTCCGCAGAGGTTCCAGAATGTCCAACGCGAGGTTGACGATGCTCCTGGGATATTTCCCGTGTCCGCCTCGAGGAAGTAAATTCGGTTCAACGGATTGCTGTTACGTGCACCTCCCAACAAAGTGAGGAAGATCAGTAAAATCGACGCTGCCATGAAAAACAGGCCCGTGAAGCCTAATGTTGCTCCTATAGATGATAGTCAGATAAAGGTGCTATAGATACGTTGATCAGGGACCGGTAGGCTTACTGCTGAGACCCATTTTGTTTGGTGCTTGTTGTAGGTCACACACTAAAATTTAACTGAGGGGCTTTTTTCTCGAGGTTGATTGTCTCGTATCTTGAAAGGGAATGGGTTGCACAAGGAAAGTGTCAAGAGATGAAAAAGAAGGGGTCAGAATTTGAAGTGGAAAACGCTAGCTGGTATAAGGATGCAAGAGCAGCCGGGGTATCCGGGACCATTGGCCAGTGTGATATAATGACGAGTGAGCATCATCCTCCTCTCTTCTTCTTTTCTACAAAACTTAAGAGTATCGACGATCATAACGTCATGGTTGCACCTGATCGGCTAGCTGTTCGTAGTTAGCGTACACTCTACTTTAGGCGCTATACCATATCGGGTTAGTCTCAGCGGTCCATGACGAAGTCAAGGTGCACGCCCAAATCAAACGACGTTGCACCTGTCGCAACAACATTGGTCCTATGGAAGAAAAGTGACGTGGACTATCACATATTAACGTTTTGGGTCCTATCCAGTTTTGCATCTTACCGGAAAAAAAACCTTGTTTGCCCAACCTGATCCCCAGACTCGACCGAGGATACACACACCACTGCGAACCTCCCACCCCGTACAACGTTGTAATGGCGACCTGGGCATACCCCCCACTGCCCGCAGAGCAGATCAACCGTGAGGCGGACACTGCGCTGGTATGTAAAACATATATGGACCCTTAAAGCAGGCGATCTCTACGCGGAGATCTGGTGGGCTGTAGCTATGATCCTTAAGGAGTGTGGAGCTTCTCTAGTATAATGCCAACATTTTATCTTAGGCCCGAGAGCTAGAGTGGCTCTTGCATTCGTTGCAAGATTCACTTGCCTCATTGAAGGAAGGTCTCCAAGAATGCGCTGCCCTCCTAGCTCCCCAGGAACCGGGATCAACCTTGGTACTATCCTCGCTGCGGTCGGAAAGTGTGAAGGGCTTCGTGACTAGAGTCGGCACCAAGGTTGTGAAGGGCGTATGTATCCCGAGTATTTCCCGAAGACCAATGAATATGCAACTAATCCCTCTCCAGGATGTTCAACTTCGTCTTGCATCGCTCCCGCCCCCTAGGGGTGCCCCCAGCACCCGACTGAACCTATCACAGTCCCCTGGAGCTCCGGAACTGGTTCTTCGACAACTGGTGTCGGTTCGAGATCTTGTGGCTCAGAGCCTGGATATTGTGGATGTGAGCACATGGACTGGCGATCCTCTCAACGCAGGCTTCATTTTCAGCCAACTTCACCTCTTGCTCGAGACGATCAGCGAGGCGCGACAGATGTTAAAAGGAGAAAGCGACGAGACGCGAGGCAAGTGGTGGGATACCTCTGCTACCGAAAATGTATGTTCGATTTCTTTGACAAAGGTCCTGCAATATTTTGCTGATATGTATCCTGCACAGATGTTTGACCCTCCGCTTCCGCCGCACCTCTCATTCCATCTCTCTATCACAGACTCCGCCCTAGTTCTTCTTCTTCGGACTCTAGAGCCTACTGCCTTTAATCACACACCAACCGCTTTTTCCTCGGATATCTCCCTGACCGGGTTCTCTCTACGAGATCGGATATTCGGCTCGCGAGCGCCAACCCATGATGAGGCCGGTAGCCTTTTTCAATGGCAGGGAGAAGAAGTTCGTGTCAAGGAGAAGGTCCGGGTAGAGAGCCAAGATCCCAGCCTGATGGCAGTCATGGCGAAATTATCGGCCCTTGAGCATGAGGTGATGCGTTGCGTTGCTGCGCTGCGGGTGCTCATGGGCGAAGAAGATACGGAGAGCGAGGCCTAATGACTTGATTAATACCCTACTGCATTTGAATTATGAACAGCTGCCTAATGCAATACTTGATGTGATTCGGTACTCTGAGGTAGGGGTAGGTAGGGCCTTTAGAAGTAGTATTGAATAGGTTGTCATTTGAGATATGTATTAATCGGCCATCTTGAAGCTACTTGAGGCTAGAAATATGTCAAACGGGTGTATAATATATAATATAACAAAAGCAATTAGCATATGTTCTGCAATCTACACATCTATGGATATTCCTACCAACCGCAAAACATAGATGTTATAGATCTTTTGACACCGAGCTAAAACCGACCCAAGGGAACAACGACGGACCAGCCAATCAGAGGCCCGCAGTTTGTGATGGGCGCGCATGGTTGTCTTGGCATCAATTTTCTGGGCTCGGCCATTTTTCTTTCTCCCTCAACCTCTCGAAAGGGACTGTCGACAAGATCTGGAAAATGTTGTCCAGGTCTTCAGCATCGGGCGCGAGGCGGTCACAATCGCGCGAACTATTTCGCACTTTTGCCTGCCCATCTGGATCGCGACAGCTCCGCGGACATGCCAACCATTTGACACCTACACAGCAACGCAGTCTTGTGCAAAAAGCGTCGCCTTTGGTCGCTTCCAGCGGCCTTGCGCGCCGAAGAAATACATCCGAGTATGCGGCGTCACAATATCACCCTCAGCGAAGGTTCGTGTCAGGCCCAGCAAGCGCCGACTTGCCACCTCAAGCCAGCCAATCCATCGAACCGGATGATATCAATACCTTGATCGATCGAATCGGTGAAAATGAGGCGGAAATGGTACAGATACTTCAAGAGCTGGAAATTATGGGCGAGGAAGGCGAAGGAGACGAGCTCACCGACCTGATCCGTGAGCGAGACGAACACACCGCAGAGTCATGGGTACACAAGATTAAACAGCGCTTTGGAGATGAGCTTCCAGAAGGGTTGTTGGATGATGCCGAGCTTCAAATCTACGCCCGCCTCTATGGAGAACCAATCATTCGGCAGGAAGTTGAGTCAATGGTTGAGGAGGAAGAGGAAGATCTGAGCTTGCTCCGCGAAGATGGAGAAGGAGGATGGGAGGAAGTCGATCTAGAAGGAAGCGCCGCGGAGGAAGATGTTCCACTCGTCTATGATATGGATGTTTCCCTAGAAGAGCGGGAAACAATTGCCATGCAACGGACTAGAGAAGTGGCAGAGCAGTTGGGCGGCGAACTTATGCTTGAGGAATTCGAGAACGAAGCAGTTCCCGACTCGGCTCCAAGAATGCATCCGCTCACTCTGGAAGGCAAATTCGGAACTGATCCTTCAACTATCCATCTACCTAAGGACACCGTCACCGGCCCCATATCGGTTATTCTGTCAGAATTCTCCAACAAGCACATTTCCGAGACTGCTCGGCGCCTGTTTGGAGGGCCAGGTTTGCCCCATTCGAGTACAACAGCGCCTCCGCGTGCCCAATTACCCCAGCTTCCTGTCGCTCTTCAGGCTTCGCAGCGTCAAATGAGAGAAATGGAGGCCAACGCTTACTTGGCAGCCTTGTACCCTGGAATCTACGCATCGACACTTAGTGTTATGGTTGAGATTCGCAAGCGATTGGGTGTCGATTGGATCCGCCGTCTCATCGCACAAGAGGGTGGGCCAAACGTTCTTGATGCCAGCGGTGGTGGTGCCGGCATCCTGGCCTGGAGAGATGTCATCCGCGCAGAATGGGAGCTCATGGTGCCAGATCACCCCGCGGGAGCCCCCATCCCCTTTGGGAGATCAACTGTGCTGACAGGCTCCGATGCCCTTCGGATGCGCGCTGCTATCATGCTGGACAACACTACCTTCCTTCCACGGCTACCTGATTATGTCCATGTGCGCGAGAAGCCTACAATTGATGACTCGCGGGATGCCCCTAAGCGCAAGCAGTACGATGTCATCATTGCACCGCACTCTCTTCTCGGTCTTGAAGAAGAATATGAGCGTAAACAGTACGTGGAGAACCTGTGGTCTCTTTTGAACCCCAACGGGGGTATTCTCATTCTCCTCGAGAAGGGCCGCCAGAAGGGCTTCGAGGCTATCTCTGGAGCTCGTGAAATGCTCTTGAAACGCCATATCGCAAGCCCCGGCTCTACCGAATACGACAACTTCCTCGAAGACCCCGACCAACGCGAGGTTATTGAGAAGGAGCGTGGAATGATCATCGCTCCCTGCACCAACCACTCAACCTGCCCAATGCACAATGCTTCAGGTGCTACCAAGGGCCGTAGGGACTACTGCCATTTCGAGCAGCGATACATTCGCCCTCCATTCCTGCAGCGCATCATGGGAGCGAAAGACCGGAACCACGAAGATCTCAAATTCAGCTACCTCGCTGTGCAGCGCGGCGTAGATCTACGACAGGAGCAAGCAATTCACCAAGGTCCTGAGGCCACAGATGCCGCGTTTGAGGGATTCGAGGACCCCGAGGAGTCTGATATCCCCAACAAGACAGCCTTCAACGCTCTGTCCCTCCCCCGTGCCATCTACCCACCCATGAAACGCCGCGGCCATGTGATCTTCGATCTCTGCACACCCGCCGGCAAAATCGAGCGCTGGACCGTCCCGCGCTCCTACAGCCGACAGGCCTACCGCGACGCTCGCAAGTCTCATTGGGGTGACCTGTGGGCTCTGGGAGCCAAGACCCGCGTTCCGCGCAACCTGAACCTTGGCGATAAGCATGGTGAGGGTAAGAAGGAGCGCCTGGCTCGCCGTGCGGCGACCAAGGGTGCTATGCGTGACGCTGAGGAGGAGGGTGACTTTGAGAATGAAGGAGAAGAGGAAGATGAAGAATATGGGGTTCATGATTCGGATATACCTGATATCCCTGTCAAGAAGAGGGGTCAGCATATCCCCAGTTGGAAGAAGCATAATGATAAAAGAAGGTTCGTCAGGCTTCCAACAAGCGTTCTGCCGACGAATAAGTGGCTTTGATTTGGCGCAATTCTTTTGTGAATTTGGAGGTTCGAAAACATGTACTATACTACTAACTGGCAGCATTTGGCATTGGGATTGGGGACTGGATCTTGTTTGTACACTAGGATATTATTCTCGCACTTCTACATATGTAAATATAGCATCCTCACTCTAATCAATGTTTGATATGTATTTTTATTGTTGTTACAGTATCCGAGGCGTCATTTAACATGAGTAAATCCTCCTTTTCTCCCATTAGATAGTCCTGATGGCGGCCGTTGGGGACCCCACTAGGTCGGTTGTGATGAAGTATGGTCTTGCCACGACCTAGGGGGACTGTGTCAGGCCGAAGAAACGCTGGTGGTCACCGGAGATCTTTCCTGAGTGGAGCCCTGCAATTAACACAGGGTGTTTAAAAATCCATCGGGTGTGAGAGACAAATGCCCTGGGAAAGATAGTCGCTGGCTTTAGGGTTGGTGTTTTTCTAGCCAGAATTGGCGAAGCACACATAGTCAAGAACGACTTGAGTAGAGATCAGACAACAGTTCTGTTAGAACCAAAAGTTCCTAGCAGGCTAGTCATTTCTCGTAATAGCAGATATTCTTATCTTGCAAAGTGACCGCTACATTCACTGCGCAGCCATACTCTTTCGCAACTGCCTTTGCTTCTGCGTGCTCTGCAACTCCAATCGATCAACTGCAAACTTGAGCCGTTCTTTCTTCTGGACGAGTCTCCTCAGCTCCGCTGCCTTGGTTGCTGCTGCATTGCCCGACGAGGCAGCGCCGGACCCCGCCAAACGACCCCGCAATGAACTGCCTTGGGGTTGGCTCCGAGTAGCTGATGACCGGCCCTCGGGTGTGGACGAGAGTCGACCTTCTTGCAGGTCGCATTTCGCCTTGAGGCCTTGTTCGCGGCGCGCAAGCTTTTCGACGTGGTTCGATGATAGTGTGAGGAGATGAGCGATGCTGGGGGTGATTTCGTCAAGGAGGGATTGCTGCGCCTCGCGCAATGTAGGCTCAGGGAGGAGCTCAAAGTGCTATTCAAAGATAAATGGTTAGATTCATATCTTCTTGTTCCTTTCCTGGAATAAAGCTTTGGAAGAACATACTCGCGTTGTTTGGAGGACTTTACATAGACGAGGGAAATCGTTCACGCCCGCATCAAGGGTGGATATAGAGTTGTCCAAAATCTGGAGAGAGGACTGTAACGAGGTAACCGAGGAAGACAATGAAGCTGCCATAGTGTGTGATTTGAAGCTTTGATTTGGAGGTGATTGTTTACAATGGTCGGGATAGATCGGGCTGTAAAAGCGGCATGACACCGCCTTTAAGGCGGCGTGGCCTCGGGACCGGGCAAACCTCCCAAACCTCACTTCTCCTCTTCCGTCCTCCTGCCTCACCACTCTCCCGAACGCCGAATTCTCTCCGCATTCGATTCACCTGTCACAATGTCTCTCCTCGGAAAGAAGTTCCCCGGCGCTCTGTGTACGTGTTTTTTGAACCTCAATTACGACATGTCCGTGAAGGATATGAGGACCAACGACTGACGCATATGTTCACTTACAGCCAAGCCTATGGCCCCCTTCTTCGCTGCCGGTACGCATACCCTTTAAATACCGAAATGCCCTGACAATCCGGAACACATGGATTGTCAATTCGGAATACCGCACTCTCGGAGCGGTTGTTGATGGAACATTACTCTGACGATTCTCCTCTCCAGGCCTCATTGTGCTCTACGGTGTCAACTCTCTCCAGAACGCTCTGTCCAACAGTGAGTCCATTCCGCGCAGCTACACATAAATCATCGACGAGTTTTGGGGTCATATGCGACACTATCCACAAACCGACATTCCGATGAGCGCCTGCAAGCATAAACAACTAACCTTCATATCCGTACAGCCGCTCAGTACCAGAACGACCCCCGCAACCCCAACGCTAAGCCCGCTGGCAAGGCTGACCACTAAATTGGGTCGACAATGAATGCATTTTGAGATCCCATTTGTTCGTTGAAGAGGAGCGGGACGAACCGTCGCGATGTGTGGGTGGACGGAGATGGCCCAGGTCATCAATGGCCGCCTTGCATTTTTTGTGATTACTCTGCGGGTAGTTTACCCCTGTCCAAGCATATAGAGTATACCCACCTCGATGGGGTTGACTTGGATCAATTCACAAGCTGTACCAGTACCATTCTGAGCAAGGCCCTTTTTCCTTTCGTAGTGTCCCTTTCGTTGGATGATACTGGATCAGTCAGAGTAAGGAAAGTAACTTAAGCCGAATATTCCGGAGCTTGTTGTATTATAGGTAAAGCTATAGGGTTTGTGGGCTCTATACTTCATATCTGCTTATTGTTACACTATTCCACTTAGGGCTAGACTTCTACGTCTTTGCGACCGTGCAATAAGTCAAAATTGGCCTTTGCTTTCAATTCCATATCATTAAATTTTGATTGTAACAGCTATCCATCAAAATACCAGTAGTAGCGTAGGGCTTTAATGCCGCTCAGCGTGAAATCTTGCATCCAACACGCTAAACCCGATCGGGCAGCCAGTTTTCACCAACTCCGCCTGGCCGAAGGACAATCATTTTCCGACCTCAACTCCGCAATTACCCCCAATTAAACACGCCAAAATGACCAAAATGGCAGGCCTTTTCCGGCCCAAGAAGCTTGATCTTTCTGGATTTGTCAATACCCGCTTGATTCGAGACAACAACAAGCGCATGGCCTTCGAGCAGACTGAGCCCGAACGGTATGAACTCTGTCCTTCTCTTAGATGCTCTAGCTTGACCGAGGATGGATATCCTGAGCTGGGGAAATCTGGGAATTGAGACATAAATTCTGACTCAGTCTTCCTTCGCAGACAAGCTCTCCGCTACATGATCCGCAACACCTCTCTCTCTGGCCGTGTCCGCGCGCAGGCTCAGCTCCAATTGTCGCAGATGCACGCATACACTCGCCCCACACAGATCAAGAACCGTTGTGTGGCATCAGGCACCGCTCGCAGTGTTTTCCGCGACTTCAGAATCAACCGAGTGAGTCAAAAACTCCGGCCAATGGCCACATCTTGCCCGAGGCTTTTGATATCATGTCGCTAACACTGTCTTCTTCTATAGTACCAATTCCGTATGCAGGCCCTCGCTGGTGAACTCCCCGGTGTGAGGAAGGCCAGTTGGTAATTGTATCGGTGATCTGTAATATATGGACACATCTGGTTGAATTGTTTGCACGATGGCGTTTTCTTCTTTGCTTCCATTGGGTGGAGGCATGTACAGTATGCAGTTTTCATTTGCAGAGAAATCAAGTCTTTCTTTGTCGTTTTAGTTCCTCCGACCAAACTCCACTGCTCTCGGCGTGTTCGTATTGACAGTCCAGGCATCGTTTTGGGCTTGGTCCTCGTTTGCTGATGTCGTGAGATCAGGGTTTCTTTGTTTGGTGTTGGGCTCATCTCAATTGGGTTGTTTGCTTCCATCATCATGGCGATCAGTTGCAGACCGGCCTAGCTATTCTGATCCATGCTTGACCGGTAATCTCATCATATCAACTCGACGGCGTCTATCAAGAAGATTCCAGTCATAGATATTCAATACCAGCAGCAAGACTCCTTGGCGTAGCCTGTTCAGGGTCGCATCATCGTCGGTCATTGAGCAGATTAGCAGCTGGGCAGCTTGTCGATGCCTGCCATAATCAAATCGTCGCTGACTGTTGCCCCGTCGTAAAATCGCGTTGAGAAACCGCGGTGCCTTCCGGTTTTGCTCGTGTGATACTCCCCTCTTCCTTTCTTTTTCTTCTTCCTCCTCCCTTTACCCATCACTCATCTTCCACTCTTGTCTCTTTGACTTTCTTCTCAAATCAATATCATACGTTGATTTGAAGCCTCGCCACAATGAACCGCATTCCGGGAGACCTGCTCCCCGATGACACCGTCTGCGCAGAGGACCTGCTTGGGCTTGGGTGAGTTTTTCCGTAGTTTTCCACGTGAGATCTCAGCCTTGTGGTCTAATAGTCCATGGAATGACACAGATTTGTCCTCACCGAAGATGACAAGATCCGGTACATCGCCGCCCCTGACCAGGGCCCTCGTTACAAGGTCAACCGAAGTGACCGCATTAACAAGGTCCACATTGAGGCCCTCCATAGTTAGTCAATCCTCGGGTCCATTTCCACCGTAGGCGATGGTTTTCATGAATCATTTTGTGCTAACAACTTCACAGAGGCGATCCGTACCTGCATTATCGACCGGCTCCTGGGAATGGGAATGCATTTTATGAAAATTCCCAAGGGCAGCAAGCAACAGGTCCCCATCATGGTGTCTGGCAATGTGACCACTGCACCTCGAGTTGTTGTTTTCTTCGGCGAGATCATTGAAGACCTGGGTGTCTTCTCGTACCGTGACGCTTGCGACGACGGCATTTCTTTCGGTTCGATCCTGGGCTTTGCCAAGGGTTTGCTTGGTGAGAATGCTAAAGATTCGCCCAATGCTCTTATCCTTGCGAACACCGGCCAGACCGTCTGGTACAATTCAGGTTGGTTCCCCATGACTGCCGACAGTGCCCATAGTCAGCACCGCAGCTCTGCGGTGGAACGCAAACGTCAACTGGATGATCGTAATGTGATCAGCAAGGGCTCCATCGGTGAGCATGTCGAGAATATCTTCCATCAAGTCTTGATGCGCGGGAACTTCGAAGTCGGCGCCAAAATCGACATCATTGGCATTTCTGAGGGCGGCCATGCTGCCATGACTTACCTGAAGAATCAATGTGAGTATCTGACTGTACAACATATAGTATAGTTAGGGGTTGCTTACTGACATGGCCTCTAGGGAGTTTCTGGTCGCCCCATATCTCCTCCCTCTCCCTGATCAACCCCGAGGCGATTGCTACCACGAAGAGCAAGACTGGTGACACGAAGGACCCGACATCATTCGCCTGGTTCATGAAATACCGTTCCCGTGGCTGGACCCTCAGTAGTAAGCCGCTTGGCACACGTGTGCCTGGCCTTGAACACCTTCATGGTTGCAACACGTACTCCTCCGGCGAAAACACAAAGTCGACTTGCATGGTCACTCGTGGTGTAGGACACATCTTGACCTGGATGAACATTATGCATTACTCTCCCATGGCGATGGAGAAGTTTGATGTGGTGCCTGGCGAGACCGATCCCAGCAGTGAAGCTGTTCGCGCGTTATTGCCCAACGAAATGGTTCCGGAAGTCCCTGGCGGCAAGATTGAAGTTCACAGCCTGGAAGTCATGAACCAGATTAAAGGCTTCCTGACAGGTGTCACGTTCACTAAGGAAATGATTACCTTTTTCAATGACAAGTTGTCGTTTGTTGACGCTAAAGACGACGAAAGTGATGATGACAGCGTGTGTACCGTCATTTATGTAGGCGAGAACAACGATGCGTTTGATGGTCTTCCTGATGTTCCAGACGCTTCTCCTGGCACTTCTCGTGACAGCCTTCCCGTTCCTGACGTACTTCCCGGCGCTTCTTCTGAGGCTTCTCCTGGCATTCTTGCTGGCGTTCTGCCTGACGCTCTTTCCGTTCCGGAAACCCCATTGTACTACGACGACGTAATCGTCGGCAAGGCTGACCCGTTCGACCTCAGTGATCTGCAAGATATCCGAGAGGACGAAAAAGAAGATGAAACCCTCTAAGTGGCCCCATACTTCCTTATGAAGCGGCGTTGTGGGTTGGGTTTCTTTAGGGGTAGGTTGTCTCTGGAGTTTGTTTCCCGGTGAGAACACCGGATGATTTGCTTTTTCTTTGATGTTTTCGCGCGCGGATGGCTGTTCTTTCCTCCCTACTCGAGATGAATTTACCCAGAAAATCACAGAAAATCACAAAAAAAAAAAAGGAGGAATCTGCTACCATCTGCTGAGATAGCGAATGAATGAAACTTCTTGTTCTAATCTCCCTGGGAACTTTTACTGTAGTTATACGACGTAGGTGTATATGTACATGTAGGTATGTATGTATCTTAGGGGTATCACGAAGGCACCAAGACCATAACCTTGGCCGACATACAGCACATCGGATTAAATATCTACCTTTGCATATTAAGATTCCTCTTTGGCAAACAGCGGAACGTCACATTAAGCATCTGCTAGGTGGATTATACTCCTAATCACGGACCAGTGATACAATGGCGAAATTCAAGCAGGCATAAGTCTTGGAAGAATCCCTGAAGGTTTGGGGGACAAATGAAAACGGGGGGTTCCCAAAAGATCAGATCTGTTCTCTTGCTCATTCTCTTACTTTTATATTCTCTTTAATATCCCTTCCAACATTCACATTCTCGCCATTATTCGCCATCGGGGGATGGAACAATGGCAAAATTGTTCAATGAAAACTGGCTCGGGAAAAGCAGGAGATGGTCACGAGCCAACATTGTCAACCCTCTCCGAGACAGAGAATTTCCCCCACCGGAAACAGTTTTGATCGAGTAAAAAGAATGAAGGCCCGAAGGTGCCCAGGCCACCTCGGGAGAAGACAGTTTCCATCGAGTAAGCTGATAAAGCGATAAGCGGGAATTGCCCGCGAATTTCATATCGGAGGTACCCGACGGCTGTTCCAAGGCTCCCTCTCTGCCTTGCTGAATGATCAATATACAGCTATACCTCAATATGTTGGTATATGCTAGTATCCAGACACAGAGAAAGCAGAGGGGAACATTATCTCCCAATCCATCCCTAACATGGTAAGGTTGAAGGCCATTCTGCATCTGTACGGTGTCTGGACCGTTGGCAAGAAATGGCCACTGTCCTGGAATAATGGCTCGGCAGTGGGCCTGTGGGTATTCCCATGATATCCCTGGATCTTTCTTTTCCTTTTGCTAAAAGTGAATTCTCATTTACCCCAAGGTGGACCCGAACTCTTTTTTTCTTCTGAGCGAGTGGCGTATTTATATCTCCCCAATCCCCTTATCTTTGGGCTTTTGCCCCTCTTATCTTCTTCGTCCTATCTGTTTAGCTTTCTTATATTTCGTTGCGTTTCGAGTCTGAAGTATAGAATACACAAGAGTCATGGCAACTAACCTCCCCCTCTATTGCCGTTGTGGCTTCATCACGCGCCGTTATCTCCGGCCGTTTGACCTCTGCCACTATCGTGATTTCACGGACAACCGGTAAAATCACCGCCATCTTTGATTCCGTGATTCCAGCGTCGGAGTTCCCCGTCGATACTCCCTACACCGACTATTCCCCCATGTTTTGCTGCCCGGCTTGGTTGATGCGCACGTTCATCTGAACGAGCCCGGCCGCACAGAATGGGAGGGCTTCTATACAGGCACTCAAGCCGCTGCCTTTGGTGGTGTGACTACCGTCATTGATATGCCTCTAAATGCTATCCCGCCCACTACCACCGTGAATGGGCTGAAACAGAAGATCCAGGCTGCCCAGGGCAAGTGCTGGGTTGATGTCGGCTTCTATGGCGGTATCATTCCCGGCAATGCGGGCGAGCTCAAGGCTCTTGTCCAAGAGGGTGTCCGCGGCTTCAAGGGTTTCCTGATTGACAGTGGTGTAAGTGAATAATATCAACACCGGGAGTTCTCGAATTAGTATTGATACGTTTTAATAGGTGGATGAGTTCCCCGCTGTCGGCAGAGAGGATATCAAAAAGGTCATGGCAGAGCTGGCCGATGAGCCAACAACTCTCATGTTCCACGCCGAGATGGTGCCTCCTATTACCGCATCTGTGGGTGACGAAGTTCAGGTATCTGATGCACCTGCAGACCCTGTCGGCCCCCTTGAGGCGTATGCAACTTTCCTGGCCTCAAGACCCTCCTCATTCGAGACCTGCGCCGTCGAAAGTATTCTATCTTTGGCTCATCTTGCTCCCAATCTGCCTCTGCACATCGTTCACCTCTCTGCGATGGAAGCTATCCCGTTGTTGCGGGAAGCCCGCGCCAATGGCGTTAAGATTACCGCCGAAACATGCTTCCACTATCTCTCCCTGGCAGCCGAGGAAGTACGCGACGGCGACACCCGCCACAAGTGCTGCCCGCCTATCCGCTCCAAGCTGAACCAAGATAGTCTGTGGGAAGAGCTGGAGAAACACACTGACGACGGCGTCATCAAGACCGTCGTCTCCGACCACTCCCCCTGCACACCAGACCTGAAGATGCTCCCAGGCCATATCCCCGGCCACTGCACCGGCGGCAAGGAAGAGGAGAGTGGTAACTTCTTCTCTGCATGGGGTGGCATTTCTTCTGTTGGACTAGGCCTGCCCATCCTCTGGACAGACCTCAGCCGTCGCAAGGGCCTGACCTCTTCGCCAGAAGACGAAAACACGAAGAATGCCCTCCAGGACGTCGTCCGTCTCTGCTGTGCAAACACTGCTGCCCAGGTTGGCTTGCAGTCGCACAAGGGTGACCTGGTTGTCGGCTTTGATGCTGATATTTGTGTTTTCGATGACTCTGCCGAATGGACTGTCGAGCCAAGCACCATGCTCTTCCGCAATAAGTGCTCCCCGTACCAGGGTCGTACTCTGCGCGGCATGGTGCGCGAGACCTGGTTGCGTGGTGAGCGTATCTTCAGCCGTGAACAGGGTTTCGATAGCCAGTCGCCGCATGGCAAGCTGCTTCTTGAGAAACGGGTTTGAAATATTTCCTGCTCTCCTCTTCTTCTTCTTCTTCTTCTTCTTCTTCTTCTTTCTTTCTTTTGTCCACACTTGAGACAAGTTGACATCTCGGCAGTTCGCCTTGCTCTTTTTTATACATCTCTGCCACTTTAAATCTCGATCTCGACCTGTGAGATTGAACCCTCTGATGAGCACTAATGATCACACAGCATCCATACCCGTTAGATTAATGACAGCGCATTGTAGCTTTAGGGATAAAATACCAAAAACAATCAATCGAATCCACCCCAGTCTTAAAAATACATGTAGTCATTATTATTGAATACTATACAAATCCATATATATCAAAGACTCTTAACATCCTCCCCGTCCCTCCCCTTCTCCCACTTCTCCCTAACCCTCCTCCTAACACCTCCATTAACCCCCTTCCCCCATATCTCCTCCTTCTCCGTCCCAACCTCAACACCCTCATCCACACCCTTGTCCTCGTCCCCAACAGCCCCAATAACAACCTTTCTTTCCCTAACCCTCCTCTCCTTAACCCTCGCCCGATCCACCTTGCCAATATACGTCCAATATAAAAATGACTCCGCAACAGCAACACTTAGCGCCGCAAATAGCCCAAGAAGAACTTTAACCGCCTCGCTTGATAGGATCTGGGGCGTCGGGAACCGAGTGAGCGCCGCGTACACGCTGAATCCGGTCACAAGCACCGAGATGAAGACGCTAGAAACAAGCGAGATTGTGAGCGTGTCTTCTTCTATTCGGCCATCGCTTGTGTAGGGTGACGTGTGTGGATCCGCGTGGTCGGCGTTTGGTTGGTAGTTTGGGTTTAAGAGGCGGTTGTAGGATTCTTGTTCTATTGCGGCGAGGAGGCGGGCTTTTGAGGCGAGATATTCGGCGCTCTATATTTTTTTATAGAATGTTAGGATCTGGTATGATATCGTCTTTATGTATTTGGGGAAAGGAAAGGAAGGGCAGGGATGGGTTTGTGTATAGACCACGTACGGGCTCTGGCTTCTTTGGTGGTGGAGGGACGTAGACTTTCGTGCCGCGGAGGAGGGAGCTAAGGACCGTTGGGGTATGAGAGGCATGCTCTTTGTATTCTGGGTCTGTTTGAAGGTATTTGGCAAGCCGGATCAGTTGCTCGTGGGCTATTGGACCTTGTGCTTCGAGCGTGGTAGGCAGGTCTAGCTCCTCGTGGCGCGAAGCTGGAATAGCTTCGAACGCAGCGAGGATGCGATCCGTTGTAAGAAGGAGGACCATTCTGATACAAATCTAATGAAATCCAACGAAATTAAGGGCGAATCAAATCGAATGCATTGAGGTTTGGTTCATCGCAGGGGAGAGATAAAGCGGAACCCCAAAAAAGTGGCAGTTAAGCTCCTCCCCACATCGTCATATCTTCTTCTCATTCTCTCTCTCACACATCTTTGCGACCATGGCAGACTCAAAGAAGAGGTAAATTCCAATTCCCATTCTATCTCTTTACATAAATCCCCTTCTAGCTTCAATCCCCCAACCTCAATCCCATGCCCGCATCCACAGAAACCAGGAAACTAACCCCTCCACCCACAGCACGGTAACAACACAAACCAACCCGCGCGGGATCCCCGTCGCACCCTTCATCGACAATGTCAGCGACTACGTCTCCTCCCGCGAGGAAGTCGAGCCTACCCTCCGCTCCTTCCAGGAGATGATCTCCAAGTACCAGTTCATGGAGGTGAACACCCAGCGCCGCGGCCAGGGTCTGCGGGAGAAGATCCCCGATATCAAGAAGACGCTGGAGATGGTGCGGTTCCTGCAGCTGCGCAAGGAGGTAGATATCCCCCCCCCGGCGGGCGTCCATGACTATATTTGTAATACGCAATTCGGAGAGAAAATATGATTCATGAAGCGTCTATTGGAGAAAAAGAAGACAACTGAAACTAAAATCGGGGAATATCAATTCGCTAACACAACTTACTTGTTTAGTCCAACCCTGACTCAGACCTCGAGACTAACTTCGAACTCAATGATACCCTCTACGCCCGGGCTGCGATCTCCCCTGCCGATGCCGAAGAGGTCTACCTCTGGCTCGGGGCGAATGTCATGTTGGCATACCCACTCGACGAGGCGGAGACCATGCTGGATGAGAAGCTCAATGCTGCGGAGTCAAGCTTGCAGAATTGCGAGGAGGATCTGGAATTCTTGCGCGAGCAGATTACGGTACGTTTATTCTGATTAGAGACACATGTGTAGGAGGTTGGGATATTGGCGCTTTTGCTAACGCTGACTATTTGCAGACATTGGAGGTTGCCACGGCGCGTGTGTACAACTGGGATGTTGTAGAAAGGCGTAAAGAGAAGGCGGATGGCAAGGGTGAAGAGGAAACGAAAAAATAAGAAGCGCCCTGGTGGCTGAATGTTTTTGAAGGTATTTATGGGATATTATAAAAAGGTTACCAATGTCATCGATTATGAATGGTCTATTCTCTTCTAGGTTAAATGTCAAAGGGAAAAGAAATAAGGAAATCATAACGCATAGAGAAACATTAAACTGAAGTAATGAATATTAGATGAATACGCTCTAAACCAAAATGCCCTATGCATATAAAACGGAAAGAAAAGAGACGCATGTCATGATTCGTGAACAACCTTGGAACGCAACAGAAGATCGCCAAAGGAAAGAAAAGAAAAAGAAAAGAAACAAATAGAACTCCCAAAATCATTGGAACATGTTGGAACCTAGCCTGTCGGCATCTGAAGCAGCTCGCTCACGCATCCGCTTCGAGATGTCGAAGCCAGTTTCATCACCGATAAAGGTCCACTCTTCAATATCATCAAGGTCGTCATCGCCTCCATCTGGAGAGGTCTTAGCTGTAGGTGTAGGAGAGAATGGGGTGGACGAGGCAAGCGACTTTTGTTGAGCCAAGGTCTTAGCGTATTCAAGATCGCGATAGAGGGCCTGGATTGCAGTGGCCACACCGTCTTCCTAAATGGGGAATAAACAAGTTAGCTCTCCATCCACTTATCCTAAATAATCTTGGAACAACTCACATTGCGGATCTGAATGCCCAGATTCCGTGCCTTGACAATCATGCGTTCGCTGTGTGTCACCTCCCAGAGAGCCCGTGAGAAGACACTGACGTTCAGTTTCTTCATGCAGATGCCAACGCCTAAATCCTCCACCCGGGAGCCGAAGAAGAATTGGTCTCCGAAGAATGGCTTGACGATGGTGGGGACACCGGCTCGAAGACTCGCGCCGGTGGTTCCTGCTCCACCGTGGTGGGCTGCAGCATCGATCTGAGAGAAAAGCCAGTCGTGGGGTGCAGACTGGATTTGATGAATCTCTGGTGGTAGAGGTATTTCGGTCTTCGTGCTAGATGGGTCACCAAGCCTATCGGACCAGCCCTTTGAGAGAATGCATCGGACATCTGCTTTCTGGACTGATTCGATGACAGTCCGTGTCAGGGCAGCAGGATCCGAGACCACAATGGATCCGAACCCGATGTACACGAGCTTCTTGCCATCCGCTCTAGCCTGCGCAATGAAGTTTGATAGTTCGATTGGGGGAGTCCAATCGGTGCCCTCATTCAAAAACCAATATCCGGTAATGCGAATCCAATCCGGGTAATCGAGAGGCGGGGCCACCACGGAGGGCGAGTAATTGTAAAGGAACGGGACTTTGTTTTGCTGCATCTTGTCCAATGTTGTGGCTTTCAATCCCAACTCGTTGTTTCGCCAGCGGTTCACTTGCCCCGCGATGGCCTTCCAAAAGATGTTGTCGAACATGACGTATGTGATATAGTTATATGCTCCACCCATGCGATTCTCCGGCACTGCGAAAGCATGAGGATAGGCCCGCGTTCTTGTCCATGGCATGGTGAACCCGCGGAAGTACGGAATCCTTAAAGCTTCTGCAATGTGGACTCCAGCCATAGCGCTCGGTGACTCGATCAGAAGGTCACTACCCTGACAACCAATCCAAGCCGACGATAAAAGATCATCGATCCATCCTCTGAACTTCAATGAAGCCTCCCTGAGGAAGGAATACGTAAACATCCCGTTCTCTACGCAGATTCGCATTAGCTCCGCGGGATCACCATCAACGGGGGCAAAGTCGATCCCGTGTTTTCTGATCCAGGGTTCGAACTCAGCATGAGTTGCAATCTTCGGTTTGTGGCCCTCAGCAAGCAGTCCTTTGCAAAGCGCAATGTACGGCTGTACATCGCCCCGGGAGCCGATGGTTAGACAGGTAATCCTTAGAGGCTCGGGTGGTTTGAAGTTGATAATAGAAGCGCGAGGGTCGTCAAAGAACGGATGTATCTCCGATGAATCCTCAGTGAAGCTCGGACGTTCATCGTGTTCCTCGGGGCTGTCCAGTCTTGCTTCCTGGAGCATGCGGTGCTCAGCCTTGGCTGCTTCAACTTCATCTCGCTCTTCATCCGCTAGCAAGCCAGATTCCACTAGGAATTTCACGGACTCCAGATTTTGATGCAGTGTGACTGCACAGTCATCTCGTGAATCTGAGGCGTTGAACTCAAAGAAAAGCTCTTCATGACCACGGATAATGACAACGAGTCCATGGTATCCAAAGCGGAAGCCTTTCTCTTTTTCAACGTTCTCAATGTCCTTGAACGGTAAAATCATTTTGGTCCGAGTACCAGGAATAAGGCTGCGGAAACAAAGTTTCTTCTGACTTATATAGATTTTGCCGTAGAGAGGGAGTACACGATGCAAGTAGGCGTAATACGTCGCCTGCAGCTTTTCGCTAGATGGGAGAGCAAAGTGTGCACGAAAGCGATCCCCATAATTGAATGAACCTTCGTTGTCCTCGGGGTCAACGTTCTGGTCTTCGAGCAATGGCCCTTCTCGCTCTCCATAATGCTTCTGCCCACCAATCCACATGCCAGAGACTTTTTCTATATAGCCCATTGACTCTGTTGCTAACAGTGTACTCATCTGTTTCGAGCGGCTCTTCAAGTATTCTGCAAAACCAGCGGCGCGTTGAAGGGGATATGCGCCGGCTTTGACGAATTC